TGCACATAGCAGGGGGTTGAAACTAGATGATCATTGTTTTCCTTTTTAACCCAGGCCATCCTATGACTCTACGATAAACAAGACAAATATAAATCTTTAATGTTAAACCAGTATCTTCAGATTTTGTATGAAGACAGATTTGATCTCAAGACAAAACCTAAGTTACTCCACTTTGTTTCTGAACACGGAAGATTACTTTCTGGATAGATAGATAGTCTTATAGATAGTCTTGGAGTTTCTGTAGTTTTATTGTCTTTTTTTTTTTTTTCTGTGAGACAGTAGGACTACTTAGCTCTGCTTCTAAGGTATTTCTCAAGCACTGCAAATGAGATCACTTAACATAACCCGCCTCTTAATGTACTCGCCTAAATCGTTACACCTGCGTGAACACATTAATCTTCCTTCCCTGGCAGACCATCAATACACAGTAGAAACATATTAGGAAAAGAAGGGAGAGCGAGAGCACAAAGCGTAAGTCCCGGAAAATCAGGAGGCAGAGAAATCACTGAGGAAAAGAAATACGCACCCCCAGGCCTGAACGCTGTGCCGGCTGAACGCTTATAAACAGGGAACGCCCAGCTCAAATAAATACATTAAGGCACCACTCCTCTTCAGGTTCGAGGTTAGCGATAACCCAAGGGAAGGAGGGCGTTTTAGAAAGCTTCGCGTATCTTTTTCCATTCGCAATGAGTTGCTAACGCCCGCATTCGGGCTCGTCAGTCGAACAAAGGTAACGAGGAGCTGAGCGGTTTTTAGCACGGCAGTACAATTCGCACACCGCGGGGCTGCCCGTACCGCCGCCGCTTCACCACCATCGCTCAGGGGCTCTTAGGAGCCGGAGGAACGAGGCCAAGCAAACGCTGCTACCCTGCACCTGAACAGCGCTCTGCCCGCGGGATCCACAAACAACATCCTCAGTTCAACGCTGCCGCTTCTTTTGATTCTCCCCACCCGCACGGCGACGAAGCCGAAGCGCTTCGCCTCCCAGCCCAAGGGCCGCGCAGGAGGCGCACATAGGCACACTCATCTCCCAGGCGCCCAGCCAGCCCGTTGCGATAACACGGCCGGCACAACACGACCGTCTCCAGGTGCGGAGGAGCCTGACGGCGACGGCCGAGCCGGGGCCATCGGAGCGAAGGGAAGAGCCCTCCCCAGGGACGACGGGCGCCTTTCCCCAGCCCGGCCGTGGGGGCGGCTCTTCCCAGCGAGGAGGGCACGAACGCCCGGTGCTGATGGGTGCCGCCGCCCCCAGCCCCGCTCTGAAGAGGCAGCGCCGGCGTCTCCCGGCAGCGTGCGAAGGGGTAAAGATGGCGCCGCGCGCCGGCCCGCCGTCCTCCTTCTCCTCCTCCTCCTCCTTCCCTTCGCCTCCCTCCCCCCGCCGCGCCGGGCCCCACCTTGCCGAAGTGCGCGGCCCAGTGGATGGGCGTCCAGCCGTAAAAGGAGTCCTCGGCGGCCAGATCGGAGCGGGGCACGCTCTGGAGCAACGCGCACAGGGCGGGCAGGTCGCCGTCGCGGCAGGCGCGGTGCAGGGGGAAGCGGAGGGTCAGCAGCTCCTCGCTGGAGAAGCCCGCCTCGGGGCCGGCGCCCAGCGACATGGCGGGCAGGGCGAGGGAAAGCGGCTAGAGGGATGGCAGCGGGGCGAGGGGGGGGAAAGCGGGAAGGAGGGGGAGAGAAGGAGCGGGCGGGCCGAGACGCGCGGAGTAGGGTGCGAGCGGCGGCGACTGCGGCAGCCGTTACCGCCCGAGCACAAAGGAAGCGGGCGGGGCGGGGCGGCGCCTCCCTGGGCGGGCGGGGCGGGCGCGAGGCAGAGCACGGCGGGAAGCGCGCGGCGGCCCCCGCGCTCCCGGCTCTTCCAATCCGCTTGGCGCTCCGCCGGGATGGGAGGGGGGATGAGGGGGGTTGGGCAGAGCTGGCTGGCGGTGCGCGCGCTGCTGGACCGTTTTTTCCCGTTGCCCGGGGCGGAGGACCTGTTGCCGCCGCCTGAGGGGGCAGCGCGGCGGGGAGAGGGGGAGCCCGCGTTCCCGCTTCTCGCCCGGAAACTCAGCGCTGCCTCCAGGCGGACAGCCGTCGGTACGTTGAGCCCCGAGCTGGGCTTGCAGCGCAGCGAGTCCGTCTGACGGCCGTCGTGTGCTGTTAGCGACTGTCAGTGCCCCGGCAGAAGGGATACTTGTCAGTGTGAAGACACACACGCAAGATTAGATTGAAACCTTGCCTCATCGGCCCCCCCTTTTTTTTTTTTTTTTTTTTGCCAAAATAATAATTATAAATATTAGGACGCGTGAGGGAGGATGGATTACAAATGAGCCCTTCCATAGATGGTGATGCTGAAGTGCAAAGAGACCGAGCGCTGTGGCCAAGGGAGGGAGCGCTGCCCACAGCTCCACAGAATCACAGAATGGCCTGGATGGAAGGGACCTCAAGGATCATGAAGCTCCAACCCCCTGCCACATGCAGGGCCACCAACCTCCCCATTTAATACTAGACCAGGCTGCTCAGGGCCCCATCCAACCTGGCCTTGAACACCTCCAGGGACGGGGCATCCACAACCTCTCTGGGCAGCCTGTTCCAGCACCTCACCACTCTCTCTGTAAAGAACTTCCCCCTGACATCCAACCTAAATCTCCCCTCCCTTAACTTAAAACTTAAAACCATTTCCCCTTGTCCTGCAGTTACCTACCCTTTCAAAGAGTTGATTCCCTCCTGTTTGTAGGCTCCCTTTAGGTACTGAAAGGCTGCAATGAGGTCACCCTGCAGCCTTCTTTTCTCCAGGCTGAACAAGCCCAGCTCTCTCAGCCAGTCTTCGTAGGGGAGGTGCTCCAGTCCTCTGATCATCCCAAAATGGCTTTGAACATCTCCAGGGATGGGGCATCCAAGGCTGCACCTGGCCTTAGCTTTCACAGTTTATCATCCCATACACACTTCTTTTGTGATTTATGTGTATTTTTTCCCCACATCAAACTGCTCTGTTTGATGCTCACTGTTTGACTTGCTTTGGAATTAAATAATGAAGGTACCATATGATAGAACAGTTGAAAGAAAGAAAAAATACAACCGTTCCAACAGCTTATGTTATAAAAATGGTAATTACCAGAACGTCTGGTATTAAATGAAACAGCTTCTTCAACTGAAAACAGGCAAGCAGCTTTTACAGTGCATATACACACTAATGTTTGTAGTCACTCGTGTTGTTTATGATTACCATAAAAAGTAATGAATATTAAAAATACTATTTTTTATTATGATGAACAGAAATTAACCAGTACTTTACTGAGGATTCATATTAAGGATTTGCATATGTTTTGCATCTCTTGTGGGGATATGGAAACTACCACACCAGGTAGACAGTGGACTTCCTAATTTCCTTATAGAAATTCATTAGCTTACTAACTTCTACCACTTCCTGCAAGATAGCTGAGTTCAGTTGCACTCATATTACAAATGAAGAAGTGAAATACCAAGAAAGGAAGTGGTTTAACTGTGTTATGCAGGAATTCTGCTTGTGAAACTGAATCCTAGCATCTTTAGTCACCACAGTAAGCAGTCATCCACAGGGACCTTGAAGGCTGTAGAGGGATGACAGAGATCTCATGGAGTTCAACAAGTCAAAGTGCTGAGTCCTGTATGCAGACAGGAGCAATTCCTGGAACCACAACATGCTGGGACCACCCAGCTGGAAAGCAGCTCTGCAAAGAAGGACCTGAGGTTGTGGCAGAGACCCCCCTCTTCTCTGTGCTGCTAAGGTTGCATCTGGAGAACTACTGGGACTCCAGTACAAGAGAGACCGTGACATACTGGAAACAGTGCAATGGAGGGTCACCAAGATGGCTGGAGACTGGAGTGAGGAAAGGCTGAGAGGGCTGAAGCTCTTCAGCCTGGAGGAGACTCAGGGATCTCATCAATGTAAGTAAATACCTGAAGGAAGGATGCCAAGAGCATGGAGCCAGGCTCCTTTCAGGGGTGCCAAGTGCCAGAACAAGCAGCAGTGGGCACAGACTGCAATACAGTTTAGTTCAGAGTTCCCTCTGAAGAGCATGCAGCACTTCTGTGCTGTGTGGGTGCCGGAGCACTGGCACAGGCTGCCCAGAGGCTGTGGATTCTCCTCCTTGGAGGCCTCCTAAAGCTGCCTGGCTGTAGGCCCGAGCACCCTGCTCTGGTGGCCCTGATGATGAGGGGATGGGCCAAAGGGACACAGAGGGCCCTGCCAGCCTCAGCCTTCCAGTGAGTCTACAGGCTTAAGTTTTGCGACTAGAATTTTTGTTGTGACGTTAACCTTTTTTATTTCCTTACTGGTTATCTACACCAAATATTCTAAAGTTTCACAGAAATCACTGGTTCTGGTATTATGCTGCATGTTATAAGATAAAATTCTTTAACTAAGTAATATAAATAGTATGCTTACTGTATTACTTACACAACAAAATATATTCCTAATTTCTTATGTTTCAGAAGAGTTCAACCACTAAGTTTAGTTGCCCACATATATGTGTGTTTTGAAAAAAAATTGTTATTTGCAAGCCTATTTGCATTAATTTTGTCCTCTTTCTATTCCTGGTCTTTCAAGGGAAGTGAGAAGCTTTCTGTCTCTGTCAGTTCAAGGAGGTGGGCCTTCTGCTTACTCAGGAGTTTAACAGAACAGCATTTCCCCCAGGGAAGTAACAGAAAAGATGCAGTTTTATTTTAGCTGGTTTTACTTTTATGTTCTCTTTTGCCTCAAGGTTGTGAAATGAAATAAAATAAAATAGTCCATAAATGAGGACTTCTTGAATATTCAGTAGAGTCTAATAAGTATACATTTAGATACTAAATACATGATTTTAAAGTGTTTTGTGAAAATGTATCTCCTGAGCTCTGGTAAGGCTGCATCTTGAGTACTGTGTTCAGTTTTGGGCCCCTCTCTACAAGAAAGACATTGAGGCCCTGGAACGTGTCCAGAGAAGGGCAACGAAGTTGTGGGGGGTCTGGAGCACAGATCTTATGGGGAGCAGCAGAGGGAGCTGGGATTCTTAAGCCTAGAGAAGAGGAGGCTCAGGGAAGACCTCATTGTTCTCTACAATTACCTGAAAGGAGGTTATAGGAAAGTGGAAATCTTCTTCTCCTGGGTAACAGTGATAGTTCGAGAGGGAATGGCCTCAAGGTGCATCAGGGTTCAGGTTTGATATTACAAAAAGCTTCTTATCTGGGAGAGCAGCCAGGCAATGGAACGGGATGCCCAGGGAGGTGGTTGAGTCACTGTCCCTGGACTTGTACAAGAAACGTTTAGGTGTGGTACCAAGAAACATGGTTTAGTGGGCAACATTTGTGGTGGATGGTTGGGCTAGATAATCTTAGAGGTCTTTTCCAGCCTTAATGATTCCATGATTTACACAACTCTGTAATGTACTCTGCATTTTCTATGTGCCATTCTTGTACAAATTAATTACATTTGCTGATTTTATTTTGCAGGAAGGTTGAAGATGGAGGACTTTATGATAACTCACACAGAATGGTCTTGGGTATTTTTGTAAAAAAAAACAAAACAAAACCACCACCACTCCAACTTTGGAATTTAATAGAATACATTCTTTGTTCAAATCCCTCCTTCTTTCTTATGGAGAGCTCGCACTGGTTAACATTTAGAGTTTTATTTAGTTGCCATACATACTTGTCTGGTGCCATTTGAGACGCCCAAGAGTATTCTTGCCTGTTGCCAACTGCTGCAGGAAAATGGTACAAGCTTACGTAGGTTCCCTGCCGCTGTACAGAGCTAACGTATCTCTGAATAACAGCCTTGTTAGGTTGCATTAAGAATCTACATTCTGACAAATAGGCCCTTCTTGAATATCATTTACACTGATGAACCTGGTCACACAGGGACTTCTTCACATTTTATCTGGAACTGATTCCCTCAAAACAACCCGTATTTGTAGGAGTTTGTTGTGCAATTCCATGCCGTCCAAGTACAAAAGGACAAACTAATTCTGACATTATTCATCGTTCATTTTATTTTGGAAATCTGTGAACTGCGGTGAAAATGTAGCATCTCTTTAGATGCCATGTATTTATTTTAGCAATGGTGAGAAACTTTCTATAATTTCCTTAGTGCAAATAGAATCTGACTCATCATCTTCAGAGATGAGTTCAAAGTTTAGGTTTACTTCCTGGTTTTTCTTACACTTAAGACCACGACTGAGCACTGTACCACTTGACTTACTTTGTTTGTTCTTTTGTGGATTTTTTTCTATCTTCACCTTTCTTCCAGAAGACCAACTGTTCTGTTGTGTTTGCTCCTAAAGCAGCAGGGCAAATCAACATTACTCTTTCTGGTGGAAGTTACTGGGAGAAGCAGCTGAATTCTTTTTGTAAAAAGTTAATTTAATAAACATGGAAGCATTAAAGCCCAAGTGCTAAAATTAAATTTGCATAGTATGTGAGGCCTCTCAGTGCACAAAGACCAGAAAATTAATAGCAGCAGTAGCTGCTTACATGGAAAGAAAGCCATGAGTGGAAAAAGAGCAAACTGAAAGTTCTTTGTCCTCCTTTCCAGCCCTCAGTTCTCAGAATTTTGTTTGGCAAGGAAAGCAGGGAATCTGTCTGACTTTCAAATAATTACTGACGTATTACTCCATTGCAGGCAAGTAGCAAAGAGCAGCTGCTTATTGCAGCCGGAGCCAAACTCTCCCTTTGCCATCCCCCATTTCTTCCTGCCTTCCCTGGAGAAAGCTATCTCGCTGTTAAGTAAACTGGGATTGGTTTGCAAGATATATTAAGATTACATTAGAAAAATATTTACTTACGTATAAAGGAGCCTTTTAAAAAATCTTCATTGCTTAGGAAACAATGTGATTTAGTGGGTAAAAAATAAAAACAGATTTGTTACTCTACAGTTGTGAAGCTGCCATCTTTTACGAGCCTGGGAAGAGTGACCTTATTCACTGTGAGTTTTTGCCAATTCTGCCTCCACGCAACTAATTCTTTTCCTGATTCATGGTGGGACTTATCTGGGCCATGTTTAAAGAGGTCTGCTGCCTCACAGTAAAGGAGTTGATTATGATTTTTGGCTTATTGACAAACTGTCCTTCACTTTTCAACATTCCTTACAAGGTTTAACTGAAAATTGAGATTTCTTGAGAGAGAAAATACCTGTTAAAAACAAACGAACAAACAAACAAATATCCAACAAGAACCACCTCAACAACCTGTAAGAAATCGATATCAAACCACTTCAATTTGTACTGAGCCTAAACCACTGCAATAAAAAGGTCCTTCAGCGTTCTTGTCTTCCAACAAACAAACAAATAAATAAATAAATAAATAAATAAATAATCTGCAACGTTACCTGAACACTGAAAGTTCATTTCTCCATTTATGTCCACACTGGAGATGAATATAAAACTGAATTCCCAAGCACTTTTATTCATTAACAAACTTCCATCAGAAAAAAAAAAAAAAGAAGTGTGTGTATGTGTGTGGAGGAGTGTTGCTCAAGTTTCTCTTTATGCAATTCACATGATGACTCCCTGAATTCCTCCTGATACTTCATTAGAGATGCTGTCTTCCTCCCTTGTTAAGCACTAGTGAGTGGTTGCTGTGTTCCGCCCTGCTGTGCAGCGGTGGAGGAAGCAACCTGTCCGTGTTACTTTGTGCTCTGTGCTATGTTGAGATGTAAGGAATGCTAATGACTGTGTGAAAATTTCATCTCTCGCATCCAGAAGGATACTGCGGGGTGCTGCGTATTGCAGCTCTTGGAATTCATGGCTGCAGATGTGGAGTCTATGCAACTGAGCATGATAAATCACACCAAACAAATCTTTCTACATTAAGAATATCTTTACAGTTACTGTGTACTATTCTGTTTTGCACTTGGGTGGAAGCTTGAAGAAATATGTTAGGCAACATTTATTTAAATGTTAAATGAAATAACAAATAAATCCATGACATGACTGCATTTACACGGATCTGGAATTGATAAATCATCTGATTTTCCAATTCCATAATCTGGAAATCTTTCCACGGGGAAAGAAAAACACGTATTGAAGTGAAAAATGTCATATCCTCTTACAAAGAGAACAAACAAAAGTCTTGAGAAAGATGAAGAGTATGACACGTCTATTTCTAAGCCTGGCAAGTATTCTTGAAACCCTCAACTTGAGATCAGCTGCTATGTTTGAGGGTTTAAGTCTACTCATTTCAGAAAGAACGTGCTTCTGTCCTAACTGTGGTTTAATCAAGCAATCATAGCTCCATCTTTTTGTTAAAGAAGATGGTGTCTGGTGTTTTTCTTCATGAAACAGAGTAAAAAAACAGGCAGTTTACATTATGAGGTTTCTCTAGCTAGCATAGTATGAAAGGAGCCATCTTGTGGTTGTCTATTCTGCAAACAAAATGTTGCTACAGTATTGCCTTGAAAAGCTGAAGTTACCTCTATGGTTCTATGCTATACATATAGAACTACCTCTATAGTTCTGTGACAATTTTTCTTCTACTTGTTTAGAAATGTTGCATTTTGAGTAAAACTGTTTTCACTCAATCTTTTTCATTCCATCAGATTTCTTATTCTACCAGGCATTCAATCTAGCCAAACAGAATTAAACTTTGTATGTTCATTCTACGTCCTCTATTAGTCAACCCACACCAATATTTACCAGTCCTCTGAGTTCTTACACCCTTTAATTTGCACTCTAAGTTCTGCTTTAAACTGCAGTCAATCGTATCTCTGAAATACGACTCTCTTAGTAGAACTGATTTCTAAGTAAGTGACAAATTATTTTTTTTTTAATAATATCCATTAAGATGTAATCTTTGGGAACTATGTGTATTCCAGATGCAAAACTGAAACAAACAAACCAACCTTCAGATTTGACCTGGGGAGACATTTGATAATCAGTCTGATAAATGATAAATCAGTCTGATTTCTTGGCCTCTTTGATAATACACAATGACACTTGGATTAATCTTCACAATCCTGAGCAGATATAGGTAAATCTATTTCATATATATTAGCTCACTGATGTTTGTATTAGTTTAATTATATCTATTTAAAATATCCCTTAGATAACTCAGAAGTTATGTATAAATAACAAGCCTAAATCATAACTCCTGAAGTTCTTAAAGTGGAACAATTTTAGACAAAAATCTGATTTCTTTAGAATTGTTTTAATTAATTAATTAATAACAGTAAAATTAAAAGTCTAATTCAAATTTTTGGATGCTAACAATTTTATGTCCTTCTTATATTGTAGCACCCAAACCTGCCCCCAGTGCTGGAGGCGAGGCCACCCACCGCAGAGCACAGTGAGACAACCCCTCCCCTCGCCCAGTGGCAGTGCTGGGCCTGCTGCCTGCCAGGGCACTGTGGATCCTTTGCCTGCCAGGGCACACTGCTGGCTCACATTCAGCTTGCCACAGCCCCCATATCACTTTGCATGGGGCTGCTCTCCATCTTCTTGTCTTTAGTCTGTGCTTAGATCCGGTGTTGCCTCATTCCAGATGCAGAATCCAGCACTTGCTCTTGTGCAGCTTCATGCAGTTGGTGATTGCCCAGCTCTCCAATGTACCAAGATCTCTCTGCAGAGCTTCTCTGCCCTCAAGGGAGTCAACAGCTCCTTCTTGATGCCATCTGCAAGCTTATTTAGTATACCTTCAAGAAACATATCCAAGTAATTAATAGAAACATTGAATAGAATTGGACTTAAAATGGAGCCGTGTGAAGCCCACCGCTGACAGACATAGCCCAACCCATCAGCCAACTATTCACCTGTCATGTTATGTTTTTGCCTAGCTGTATGCTGGACATGTTGTCCATCAGGATACTGTGAGAAACAGTATTGAAATCTTTGCTGTCATCCAAAAATTTTGCACAGAATGTCATCCCTTGGTTGATTGGATCTCCTTTAATAAAGTGAGCCTCTGTGTATTTCTGAAGACAATCACAGCAGTGATCGAGGTTCACAGACTGACCTCTGTCTCTGCGTATTTGAGTGGGACTTGAAAATTTATTTTTTATGCATTTCTATGATAATATGGATTTACTTCAGTAAAACTGAAGTCAGACTTAAGTACCAGGCTGCTGTAATTATACAGTTTCTTTGATATTAAGAAGTATGAAAGTCAAGAACTTTTACAATTATGGTCTATTGTGGAGGATAATAAATATGCATTCCAAGAATCATGGAATATAATGAATTTAAAACAGGATCAATTGTGAAAACAGACTTCTTGGAAAAGAATGTATTTTTATGATATTCTCTCTACTGTCTGAATTCTATGAAAACCTGAGACTTATCAACGTATCCTCATTTAACAACAGAACTGAATTTAGTTTATTAGAATTATTTGGATTCAACTTCCAGAAATTTCTTGTTGGGGAATTTTGTAGTCAGATATATTTTTAGTTTGAGTTTTTCTACAGAGGTCAGTATTTCCATATCAATAAACAAGAAGTAGGGTAAGATTTTCCCTGGGTATAAAAAAATCACTTCTGACCACTGCTAAGGAGGCTTACAGCAGATCAATCATAATGGTACCTTCATAAATTTTATACATGCTTTCTTTTCTGCTAGTTGGGATTTCGTTGATTCTACAACCAGAAATTGTCTTATTCAAATGGCAAGGAAAGAACTAGAAGGATCTGGAGGAGAATATTGCAATACCCTCATCAACGGTAAACTACTGGCCTACTAAAAATGAAATGAAATCCTTTTGGTACCTTCTCCTTTCTCCTATGAAGAAGGGTTGAGAGAACTGGGCTAGCTTAGCTTGGAGAAGAGAAGGCTCTGGAGAGACCTCAGTGTGGCCTTCCAGTACTTGAAGGGAGCATATGAACAGGAGGGGGTACGACTGTTTACATGGGTTGATAGAGATAGGACAAGGGGGAATGATTTTAAACTGAGACAGAGAAGGTTTCGTTTAGATATTAGGAGGAAGTTTTCCACTCAGAGGATGGTGATGCACTGCAATAGGTTGCCCAAGGAGGTTGTGGATGCCCCATCTGTGGAGCAGGCATCTTGAGCCTGTTGTCTCTTTCTGTCACTTACTTATTCCTTCCTCTTTTTATAAAACCTTAATCTCAAGAAGCATGGCATATTTTATTTATTTTTTTAACTATTTTTGTAGATGGTAGACATCATTTGAAACAGCTGAACACTGCTGGAAGCCTATTGAATAACCTCACTTCTTGCAGACGTCAGCTTGTTCTTCACCAGTGTTGTCTCTTCTATAGTAGCTGAGTTCTAGTTCGGATCTAATCGGAGTGGGTTGTGTTTTCATTGACCTCCCCAAAATAAACAGAACCAAACTGAAATACCTGCGTTGTTCATTAGATTGGGAATTTTATTAGATAAACCTTTACCAGTGATAACTGCTTGTCTGGACTGAAGAAATGGCTACTTCCCTATTTCAGCTATGTTGTCTTTTACTGTGGAAACTTTGCCTTATGTGCAACTTCAGAACATTCTTCCTGTATCTGCAAGGTATGTTAGAATAGTTTCTGAAATCATACAATTCCGAGCAGAAATTACCAATACTGGCCTTAAAGCCTTTAGCAGTGTAAAACAGGAGGTTTACCTGTAAGATCCCCATGTAATAGTATTTATTCTAGCAGATGTCTCACCTTCCAGCTGTAGTAGTGATGTACTTAACAGTGAAATTCAGTACCCTCACATGCTGATATTCTTTTCACTGACCATACTTTCTCTAAAAAATACACTGATATTTTAGGGGGAAGAGAAGATGTGCTGCCATTCTGAAGATGTTTGTGAAATTAGCCTTAGCAGGCTTTTTGGAGCATCTTACACAGAAGCTTAAAATCACAGCCATTATTTATACCAACATTAAGTAATTGCGTAACCCAAAGGAATGGCAATTTGTTATTTTAAGCAATCAGACAGGGCATAAGAGACTTTCCGATATCACATGATGGCATGATTTAATGCTGAAATCTTTAGTCATACCGTGTTTAAAAATGATAGATAGTGGATATTGAGCTCAATGTCTAAGATGAGTTATCTTTTTTGAAACAGTTTTTTTTCCCCCGTGTGGGAAATAATTGTTTGCCTACAACAGTAAGCAGATGGATTACCACACTTGCAAAACAGCCTTAACTTTCAAGTTTTGGAGAAGCTGATGAATATCTAAGTAATTAAGATACCAGCTTGCATTATAACATATCAAGTTTGGTTCATTTGTTCTTATGGATTTTCCTGGATAAGATTTATATGTCCAGATTAAAAAATGCTTTGTGCTACTATTGAGAGTAGCTTATTGAGAGTAGCTGAAATCCTCTTCAAATAGCAGTTAAGTTTCTTAAAAACTTTATTGTGTCTGGAACTAGGTCCATATCCACTGGGAAAATAAAGAGGAAGACTGCTGGGTTTCCATAGTTTTCCAGTGTTTGTAAGGCTAAATATTATTTATGTGAATTACTCGACTGCTACAAAAGCTATGAGTATGGAAACGTGTAAAGAAAAGCTTACATGTTTCTGTGATACTTGAACCACAAAAAATGTTTGATATTAAAACTGTAATGTATTCTTGAATTGTATTACCACTGTAAAAATGAACAAAAAGTTACAAAAATGTATAAATTGTTGTATGTTTGGGAAACACTTTGGGTTTTTTTCTCAATGAAATGCTAGGGAAGGAAGCCTGTCAGTGCAGGGGAGACCTTTGGCTCAAACAACTCCAAGTATTAATGCTGGGAGAAAAAGAAAAAAAAAAAAAAGAAATTGAAGGAATTCCAGGCAGTGGTAATACATACAGTTGTAGAAAGTAATAGTTCATTGCTTCCTATGAGTTTAACAGTACGTGAAATTTTGGCAAAACAAGGCAACATTTATTAACTTGTTTTCTCAGCTTAATGCAATTTATGATTAGTATTCAACTTTCATAGGTTGAAACCTGAACGCATACGTGTTCACCTGCATGTTGGAATCAGGTTGGAACAGTTTTTCTTTAAGAAAAAAATATATTTTCTGACTTTTTTGGTGTGTGCAACCTCGAACTCGTGGATTTCCACCATCTCACCAGATGACTGCTGTCACTATTTTCCAAAGGAATAACACCACTGCCATTTTCTTCCTGTTCTATAGAACATTTCTGCTGCATTTTGTAGAGAATAATTAAGGTAAGTAATGATCAACATTCACCTCACTGAAGCTCAGGTTACAGCCTATTAGTTTTGCAAGTGTGAATGGTGCTTTTTCCCCCAGTATTACTGTTGGCTGTTTTGCGTGGTCCCAACTGAACATATCGGCAGTTTTGGATTCCTGTCTGAACAGATTCACTATGTGGACACTCTTCTTCCCCACGTTCAGTTTTCTTTTGTCTGGCTAGCACTACCATGGTAAAGGTGAACCTTTACCCACTCTTGAGGCAGGCAAAGAGAAAGTCAGCTATTTTTAAGTGCTTATTCTAGCTGGGGATTCCCCCTAACCCCAGCTGCTCTGTATATGTGTCAAGGCACCTTATGGGTTTAAAAACATCCAAAGCTGGATGTCGCAGTGTGCCACATCACAATGTCTTAATCTGTTTGTAGAATAAGTGTGTAAATTTTCTGATGGTGCCAAAGTGAAGAATGAAGTTCTTCCTCTGTAAAACAAATGACATGGCAAAGACAGCATAAAATGGCACTACTGTTGGTGGTTTTAAAGATTCTTGAATAGAACTGTTGAGATGTCTGACCTCAGAAGTTAAAGTTACATATGTACCCTGTGTATTTAAACCTTATTTTGGAATATGAATGCTTTCCAAAGTATATAAAGCTTGATACAAAAAAATAAAGTGTATTTAAACTTTTCAATTTTGGGGTAAAAAGCTTTACGAACTACAATGAACTCAGAAATTCACTGGGGAATTTCAAGGATAATTGGGGATCAGGTCTATAGTAGAGCTGCCGAAGGCAACTTTAGTTGGCAGACAGTTCAGGAATGAGCACTGTGCTAGAATCTCAAATTAATGGGATGTCTTCTGGAAATGAGAGCCAGGAAAGAAAATCCTACTGATTATTTGAGTCTAACTTTCTGTTTCTCACCTCCAGCCACCTGCCTGGACTGCTCTGAATAAACATGAGAGAGCTCTGCCAGGGCAAATCTTGCATAAGATGTTCCATGATTCTAGTTCAATCCATCACTCTAGATTCGGGATGTACTTGGCTATTTCCAAGATCTGTTGGATGTAGTTGTTTTTTTTGTTTTGTTTTATTTTGGTTTTTTTCCCCCCAGGATTTCCATGGTTTTACTGCCAGGCAATTTAGCTGAATGTAGTTCAAATTTCCTCCGTATCTCATACAATGGGAAAGAACTCATAATACAACAAATAGTCAGGGGTTCGTATGGTATGATGCCTTAGGATTTTCTTTTTTGCAGTTGTGACTTAATTCTTACACAATGTGTGTGCTAATTTGTACAGGTGACGTACTGCAGGGAATGTGAATAGAAAGCTATCACTTAGGTCTATGTATCTATAACAACAGTGAGTTAAGAATTGGATCAGAGCGCTCTGACTCACCGGTGGTGATGATCAGCTTGTGATGGCTGTAATGATTCCTGCTCCCAGCTGCCCATTCCACCCCGTGACATGCCCTTTACAAGCCCCAGTTGCAGAGGTGGCTCAGCTGTTCATGTAGCAGCTGCTGTAGCTTGGCAATTTGTAGCTAAGTATATTAAGATAACCCAAAGTAGTTTCTAACTTACTATAAAACACTGGGCTGTCAACAGTAGTTCTTCTATTCTCCAGCTAGAACCAAAAATGGGGAAAAGGGAACAGAACTTCTGACAATAACCCCAAAGATCCAAGATGTTGGATGGAAGAAATTATGCTGTGTACTGTGAAACATTTTCACGTCCTTTTTTAGAAATAGGTGCCTTAGACTTAACCCAGCTTTAGATTCAAATGGTACACAGCCAAGATAACTCATCTCTGATTGTGAATCAGAACTCTGAGAGTGGGAGTCAGATCCAGATCGAGATTAAGCTTGGATGTCTATAGGGTGAAATGAGATAGGTGAGGTACATGTTCAATGTACAAAAGATTCAGTGACAATGGTCAGTGGAGCCTTGAGGCTCACTTTACATCATTTTTGGGTTATATCCTCTTCCTTCATTGGCCATGCCATAAGTAAAGCTTAATGAATCACATTCATCTACTTATTTCTGAAAGTATTAAGAACACTTACTTCTTTACTTCTTTTCTTTCTTGGTCAATATTTTTCTTTCCTATCTGCTGGTGATACTTCTCAAGTCTCTTCAGGATGTAACTGTCAGATTCTTCATGCACTCCTGTAGGAATCTCATGAATGTTAGTGGGTTAAATAGTTTTTGCTCTACACAGCGAACTCAACTTAGAGATGTGACACTTTGGCTCAACACCATAGAGAGCAGAGGGGCAACTTTCACCATTTGGAGTCTCTCACACGCAAATTGCCAAGTGTCTCATTGGATCAATAAGATTTTTTAAGAGCGTGGGTGGCTTGCTCTTCTTTCTGTCTCTCATCTGCACGAAACGGCATTGTGTGTTGCCTTATTAATCATTCAGATGTGCCTTTTTCCTCCTGTAGTCTCTAAGAGCACAGCTGTTGCCTTGGGCTCAGTTATAGTGAGTCCTTTGTGGTTCACTGTGTCCCTTGGTGACTTCATCTGCCATGAGATTGCCTTTATATCCAGAGCACCTTCAATTTTCTTCCAATATCCCCAGTATTTTAATACTAGAAGAATTCCC